CCCCCAGAGCACTTTTGTCACGTGCAACCCAGCAATTTGATGACATAATGACCTACCGCAATATGCCGCAAATCTCTACCGTTGGTCAAATTTATATCGTATATCGCTTATACCGTTTATATCACCCACCCCTAAGTCTGACCATTGTTTGTCGTCATCCCAGGTCTCATATGGGTTTTGAATTTGTTCAGTTCGATCTATTGTACTTATTTTTACCTTGCCTTGTCTTTATATCTCCACTGATCTTCTTGCGTTAAAGTGATTTTATATAGTGCATTTCACCAACTCAGTCTTTTAAAAGTACTTGTTGCATCCATGCTTCAGTATGTGGTGCTCTGTCTTCTTGCCACGCATGCGGATGTAAACAAAGATGCCTTGGGAAGGCCAAAAGATGCCTTCCCAAGCAATGGCTAATATTTTTCAAGAAGTCGGGTATTTATGAGGCTGCTGCAGTTCAGATGCGATCAGTTTAAAGTTTGAATCACATTCTTAAGGATCAGTGGAGACATCACACAGATAAAACTAATGCCATCTGTAGCTACTTTACAGCCTCCTCTGGGTTTCTGCTGATGTGTTGTAGCCCTGTTAGCCGTAGCTTTAGCCAGCTTAGCTGCTACACTTTGGGTAGCAGCAGATGTGTTGTTGCGGCAGAGGCGGTGTTCACAAGGACACAAGCCGGTCAGATAAAGAAGACAAAGACACTCAAAAACAACCAAAACATGAGCTGGACCAGAACTAAACCAGGATTAAACCAGGACTGACAATGGGTGACATATTGCTTGTGGACATATGCCTTCAGCCTGAGATCTCATTCTACTATAAATGTGTTTGCCGATACGAAAGTACTGGTTAATAATCTAATACAGTGTCTCCCAAAGTGGGGTCCGCGGCTGTAATAATAATCCACTGTAATCATTTTTGTATTACAATGTTTGTAGCAGAGGCTATTTCCCCAAAATAAAATAACCAGAAGAGCCTATTCTTAATGTTGTCTTCTTGGTTATTATTTTGGGGGGGCCACGCAGACCCGTCAGATTTTTAAGGGGGCCTCGGTGTTACTGAGTTTGGGAATGGCTGATCTAATACATCCATGATGCAGCTCCGTGAGCATACTGGTATATAATGTCTCTGTAGGGTCTCGGGACACCGAGACGCAGCAGAGCTGAACTGGTGGAGAACTTTACACAAAAATCTGTTAGCTTAAACTCACTAGCATCAATGCCCACCCGCCACTTCCGGCCTGCGTTTTGCGGCATTGCAGGGGCCAGTAAGTTAGATTTACTAAAAACTTAAGTGAACATGCGTCCAAAAGGTGTGTTAACCCCCCTATAAGTTACAAGGCCGAGTCAATTTGACATCCCAGTCTGTGTTGCCCAGCGTGAAAGGGTGCCCCAAAATTTGAACAACATTTCTTTTGTTGGCAATAATTAACAATCTTTAAAATGACACTATTCTTTTAAATGAGCCTCTTCAGCCCGTCGCTACCCTTATGTTAGCGACGGGCTGTCAATAACAATTATTTTGTTAATTTTTCATTTTGTTGTTTAGACCATAGATGAGATTTTAATCTCAATTTGAGGCAGAAAAATAAAACGGCTGAAAGGTATTCTTTGTATAATAAAAATGCATTTTCATATTGAGACGTTTCTGCATTTGTTGTAGTATCTGCCGCCCTCTTTGGGGATCACCACTGTCTTCTGACCCCCCTTTGCCAATCCAGTGTGACCGGGAAGTGGCTAGGTATATATGGAGATGCAATTTCTCCTTCTCGGTCCTGTTCTTGACTTGTAAATGATATTGGGGCCCCTAAATATAAGTTAAGTTGTGCTTCTTGAGAGTCCCTTCACAAAACTACATATCTAAGTGTAAACAATGTGGATTCAACGAATGTGTGTGAACAAAAACCAAAAAAATGAAAAAATTACAAATTCTATGTTGGGACCAATGCAATGTTTGACCGATGCCATTGCTCTCCCCTACCCTTTTCTGACTATTCAGACACGTCCACCTTTTACAATTTCGTTTTCATATGATATGCAGTAGGGATGGCCGAATATATCGCCAAAAGATTGTATCGCGATGAAAAGGAAATATAACAATAACAATATTATTTTTTGTTTTAATACAACAAAGTGAATGGTCTTATCGCTTTTAAGAACTGGTTCTATCGCACATGTATTTTTGGACTCAATCAGCTGTCTGCATTTAAAAGATGAAATGTTAAAAACAGCATGTTGTATTCTGATTTTCTCACATAATGTTATTTTTAGAAGAATCTTTCTGATAGCACAAACAAATGTATTTATGAAACCAAACATAAGTTTAGATACTGGAGGACGCCTCAGCTCGCGTGCAGCTGTGCACCAGTCCGGTGACTCACATAAAGTGCGGTGAGGTGTTTTTCCCAAATCACAACTTCAGACTCTGAAAAGACGCTGGAAAAGCTCACATATTATTCTGTGGATTAACGTGCCCCCTCGATACGCACGATCCACTGAAACAACATTGTAAAATCAAAAAGAAACAGCTACCATTATCATTGACTAGGAGTGTGGCGATATCGATTTTTCGATATATCGCGATACTTTCTCCCGCGATCGATTATCGATATGCATTTGCCAAGTATCGATATTGAAAAAAAATATATATAATAATTAATATTATTATTATTTTTTTTTTTTATTTATTAGTATCAATACTTAATATATGGCTACATTTTACATCTCCATTCCATTCATCATGAAGTAAAGTGTATTTTTTCACTTAAATTATTCTATTTTATGTATGCCATATATACGCGTATCGTACCGTGAGGTACCCTTAGGTTCCCACTCCTATCATTGACACGTTTTGAGTAGGGAACGGACTACACCTGATAGCATGACACCCCGCGTTATAAGGAGGGAAGCTTGTTGCCGAGTTCCTCCAGTGCATCGCCCCCTCTGCACGCACTCAGACAAAATTCACACAGTCCCTCAAAATTAAACTGGTATTTTAACAGCCAGCACAAATATGCAGTTGATTTGGCATCCTTGTGCAAGCTTTTTTTTCTCAAAAGAAAAAAATATATGCCAATTGTTAACTTTCTCTAATGTAGAATTGGGGCCTTTGATGTGACCACATTTCCACTGACGTCACGTGAAGGGGCAGAGAACAGAGCTATAATATGGGACTCGATACAGAAGTGCAGACTTGTTTCTTTTATAAAATTGTGAAATTTCAGATGTACTAAATATAATAATAACTAGGGGTGGGAACCACAGGGTACCTCACGATACAATATGCGATACAAAGTTCACGATAACGGTTATCTCACGATAGATGCAGCGATTATCGATATTGGTCAAAAATATACCTACGGTAATATTTTACTTCTATTCATGGCATAAATTAAGTGAATAAATAAAACTTTATTTCAAGATAAATGGATAAAGTGACATGTGTAACATTAAAGTGAACAGATGCCTTTTAACCTGCACATTTTGGTAAAAATCTTACTTAATCTGTCTCACATCCAATAAGATCAATATGAACATTCTACAGAAATTGTAGAATGTGTTATGTAGCCATATATTAAGTAACAATACTTTTTTTACAAGTAAAGCTTAAAAAAAGATTTATTTGTATTTTTTATCGATTAGCAAAAGCATATCAATAATTAATTGCGTGAGAAAGTATCACGATACATCACCATATCGATATATTGTCACACTCATAATAAACTGTTACTATTGCAGACCATGTCGTCTTCACTGTGTTGGGATAGGGTTATTAGATTGATCACTATTACTATATAGAAACAATTTTGACAACTTATCTTTTCAAGAATACCAAACAGATTGTTTTTTCACAGGACTTTCTGCAGTTCATAACATAATCAATAATCTAGATGTAGATTGCCAATATTGTTGGCAATCTACATCTTGCCCAGGGACTACAGTTGAAAATTAGCTTTGGAGCTAAAACTGGCACATTTACAGTGATGTTAATTAATGTGCATTGTCCCTGTTTAAATAAACTAATAATAATAATCAAGTCCGTATGAAGGTCACAAGGGCTGTGGTTCAACCAATGTAAAATGTTGAAAACCAATGTTTGTTTTTGTGAACTGCCCTAGTTTTTCCTGTTATAAAGAATATAATATGGAAATTGAGAAAAACTGAAGCAAAAGTGTTTCTAAAGCCAAAATGAAAACAATGTTTTTAATATCTCAATTATATTATTAGTGTATTTCTATATTGGATTCATATTTTCACAGTAATAACGTTTCAGTTGCAAATAACTTGAAAATGTTACCGTTATAAACACCCCCCACCCCACTAAACTGATGATATATGATTGAATCAACATACTATGTTATTGCCACTGAAACAATGGTGAATTAAGTGAATGATTATCATCAAACTCAATGTAAATATTATCAAAGTTAGTGTAAATAATACAGAGAAGATAAAATTTTGCATAAATAGATAATTGTATTCTTTGTATCCCAACCTTCCATAATATAAAAGTATAATGCAGTGCTTGCATAGAGTGTGAGTTTGCAGAACTGGAACCTCAAAATTAGATTTTCACTCAAGACTCTTGACCAACATGAGCTACTGCAAAGTAAACAAACCCATTATAAGTGACCTAAATAAAGTATCAAGACCATGAATTGAGTTATAACAAACCAAACAATGTACTTGAAGTTTATGCATTTATCATGGGAAAATCATGTAATCTCTTTTTATAATATTAGTCAAAAATATATAAAAACAGCCTTGTTATAATGAGCTACAATTGCAGGAAGGAAGCGCGCGCTCCACCAACACAAGACCATGCACGAGCACTGCCCTAAGACTGCCCATCCCCCACGCGCACAGAAAACAGCTAAATAAACACAACAAACGGCATAATAACCAGACCATCTCACCTACACGCACTCACAACCGACTAATGCACGCCCGGGCACTATTTATAACGCCAATTACGCCGTTTAAAGCCGCTAAACCACTCACCGAAATCTCCAAGCCACACAAGGGGGTGCCTTCTCCTCACTGCTCCTAATATGGAATCTCCTCCTCCGGCGTTCAAGCTCTAGTTTCACCCCGAAATCCGCGTTATATCGGCCTCAGACTCGGCCACAGTGCCCCTGGGATCCCCAATGACCGATACGTGGCCAAATCGGCGGCATACGTAGCGGTAAATCCAGGTTAGATGGGCTGGAAGGGCAGTGGAGTTGGGATTGTAGCCGCGCTCGGATCGTAGAGAAAGAGCCAAAGCGCTTCGGAAGCAGCCAACGGACTCAAACAAGGCGAGGTGACCAGACAGGCGCAAGTGAGCGAGAAAGGGCCTCCGATCGCTGCCTGCTTGCTACATCAAAATGGTGTCGCAGTGTGGAGGATAAGGACGGGACATGGACGTCGGAACTATTTTCTGAGAGGGGGGGCGGGTTTTTGTTGGGAGAGTCGAGGGAGAGACTCATACTTGGATTACACTGGATAATAACATACCATCTTAATTGTTAAGAAAAACAAAATAAACAATATATATCAAGCAAGTCACTTATCAAACTGAACTTTTTTTTTTTCAATACGCATTCATGCGTCAGTCTCTCCGGTGGCTTCATTGTGTTGTGTAGCCCAGTGACGTGCGGTCAGATGAGGCAGGCAAGGCCCTCACCTAAGATCATAGAAAGAAAAGTAATAAAATGGATACAATAATGTTTGGTCACTTTATCAAGTGATTTGTGCTGTGCCTTATTTCATTTATTTATACCTTGAAATCGCAGATTTGACAGAGCGGTGCTGTGAGGCGAGCCTCTCTTGGGAGACGTAAAAAGCAACAGTTCACAGGGAGAGTCCTGTGAGGTGCTATCAAACTGTTTTCCCTGTTTATCACAGTTTAAAAAGTTTCAAAAATATTTAATTTACAATCAACATGTTTACATTTAAGAGGATGGCTCATAAATTGTGTTTTTGAAGCAAATATGGGTCTTAATCGCGCTCAACCACAGCTTGTAAGTGAGGAAAGCCTCAAGGGGGCGCTTGTGAGCCCAAACTTTGGCTGCATCCAATTCCATCAGAAAGCTCCTTTCTTGTTCTTCTTCTGCTAAGGGCAGCTACAGGTTTGGCTAACATACCTATAATACATTTTAAGATAATTTAAAATGCACTTAGAGTAATGTTTTGCTTCCAATGATGATATGAATCATAAGAAAAGGAGGTGAAGGGTAAGGTTGAATTTAGAAATTGGATTTACCCGGGAGTCGGCTGCAGCAAAACTTGGAGTTTACGGAGGAGACACCCGTTTTTTTTACTTTTTAAAACTCATTGAACTTATTTCCAAATGGAGGATTACATGTCTGTGCCCAAACTATTATCTGGACTTAAACATGAAACTGGTCCTAACTGAAGTGGTCTGTGCTGTTCATTAATACCTAAGGTAAGGCCCATAACACACTTTGTACTATTTACAAACGTTTGCGTTTTGTATGAGAAAACAATGCAGACATTAAATCATATTCTGCTGTAGCCAAACAAATTGTGTATAAGCCGCTCCTGTTCCTGTAGGTCCTGTTGGTTTATATGATGTATAATCATATGAACACATGATTGATCCCCCACCGCACGTCACTGGTGTAGCCAGGTCTCTAATCTGCGCAAGGCTGAGAAAGAGCGCTCAGAGGCTGCGACAGATATTAGCCAGACAGAGCTTCATAAGCTTCTCCGACAGCATGGAGCGGGTTTTGGGCTGCAAGGAACGCAGGATAGTGATAACTTCTCGCTCCCGGCACACGCGGAGGGGGTGCGGCCGCACCCCCCGCACCCCTAGTTCCGACGTCTATGGACATGGCTGCAGATGACAGGCAGAAAGCGTCAAATAATGACTGTAATCAGCGACGACGCGTGGATGTTCACGAGTTGCGCCTCTGTAGTGTTTGGATTGGACGAGTCTGTAATAATGTCGTGAAGTTACAACGTGCTCGTAATGGTAATGTGAGGACTGCGTGAGCTGTAATAGGGCTGTGGTATCCCGCCTTTTCCCTCCAAAGATTCGCATTAAAACAAAACGGGCATAGATCAAGCTACTCCTACTCGTGGCCCAATACTGCAGTTCCAGTATAAGCCTATGTTTTGTTCTCAATTGTCTGTGTATTTTTCAAAAACAGAGCACATGCAAACATAATTGTCTTTATCGGACAATCATATTACAATCAATGTCTAATTTGTAAAACACTACGGTATTGCTATTTGCTATACATCATACATTACACAATACAATGCCAGAGGGAGTAAAACAAACACGATTTTCTAACCATATAACCTTATTCCTAACCTTGCGTTATAGGGTTTGATGCTTGATAAATAAGCTTCCTATTATTTATTGCATTTATAATGATTATGTCTCAGGATGTATAATGCACTTTTCATTATTCAGCCTAATACACGTGATATATCATTCCTATGTCCTTTAGGGAGCTACTTGAGGGTGCAGATCTACATGGCACAGACTATAACCCGTGCTCTAATAGGGTTATAATGGCGACGCCAAATGCTACTGTAGATCTAGTTATATAGCCATTTCTGTTGTCTGGTTGGGGGATGGGCGAACTACTGAACTGAATGTATGGCACAAAAGGAGCTCCGCCTCTTTGTTTTTGTTCTGCAGTCTGGAAAATGCCATGGCTGCAAATAGAAGTGGATTCGATCAATATTTGTTCATGCCCATTTGTATGCATGGATTATGCTACCAGGCTGTTCAGAAAAGTCTCTTGAATAGCATTTTTATGTCAAATGAATCATGCAATGAATAAACAGCTCAGATTGTCATTATATTATATTATATTGTATATTTTTATGGGTACATATGGTTGAAGCAACATTCAAACACATTAAATGAATACAGTTTTGCACTGAGTGACCTTTTTTGGAAAGACTGGATGCTGTATCCCTCCCATAGGAACACATTATGTTCCGACAGTGTCCAATAGCGACATAATCAGTTTGTCAATATAGTTTTAGGATGGTTTCTACTATAAAATCCTTTTGGCACATGTCATGTTGCTATAGCCATAGGATGCTTGAATCAATAGACTATAATATAACTGAGGGACATTACATACTGGACTGGAGTCAATTATTAACAGCTTATCTGTAAATAGAGATAATAAAACATAACTTCACTTTGGGACTGCTCTTAATAACTTCATATCCTTCACTTCATATCATATACTGTAGAGTAGTAAAACAAAATACATCTTATAATAAGTTAGCGATAACTTCGGTTTCTCCTTTAAAAATGAATGCAGATTATATCAGTTTTTTTTAACAGAAAACGAAAACCGCATTGAAGTGCCTTTGAATGTGTCCTGAAGCCTGTTTGTAAACAGTGGCGTGTGCTGCCCACTGTTGATGTGTGTCTCTTTGGAGCCGAGCGCCTCTCGCTCAGATAACACTCCGGGGGGGTGATCTGTCGCCACAGTAACAGGACAGGGACTGATAATGACTGCTCATCACGCCGTATATCAGCCCACGATCAGAAAGCAGAATCCTGCAGAAAGACTATTCATTAATCCTATGTGTTTACTTAGATATTTATTTAACCAGTATCCAGAAGGTGGTTATTTTCCAATTCATTTTATGGTTATTTGAAGGACAAAGCAAATGTAGTTTTGCTCCATTTCACTCCTACCTTGACATGTTTTGACATGTTTTGACATTGGAACATGTCAAGGTAATAACATTGCTAACTTACTGTTGTATGGTATAGAAGAACCAAATACCAATAGACAAGATGAACCTTCCTGAACTATTACAATAAACTCACAGTTTAGTAACTGTTTATGTCACACTCATCATCATTATTTTTATTTTGATATTATCCTTCAAATCCATATATGAGCCAAAAGGATTGACCAATCAGATGCCTTCATTCGCGGGGGAACTCCAGCTAACCATCTTAGCAACACATAAGCCCCTGTTTCAGCGCAAAGCTAACACCGACGGATCAAACGCTCATATAATAAAATTGGCTTCAGCTGTGTTCAAATAGGCCCCTTTCACATTCGGCAAACACTGAAGGTGACATTTGCACTGGGTCAGTCCACTCCTGAAATACAGTCTATGCCCCACACATGAAATCTAAACCCTAAGCATGCTCTATGTAACTGTGTTCAAGAGTGTATTGTGGTGTTCTTTGCCTGCAGCCTCGGGCCCGTACCATAGCCCTGATTGAGGCAGGAGATAATGGTCTCTTCAGCACTGGAGCCATAACTCAGCCTGCCCTGACTGCAGGGAGACGGGAATAGCACGGTTGCTGCATCTGCTTCAAACTCATTTAATTATTCAGCACCTACGGAGAGAAAAGGAAAGGACTAAGAGTATCTCCTCAATCGCATTGATTTTCTGAGGCCTGTGAGGATAGTTACTGTCTTTGGTGGTATTATCTGGAGGATTTAGATTCATATGTCTGCTCATTCACATACACGGCACATAAGCAGCTTCAGTGAAAGAAAGGATTATGAAAGGGAAATGGTCTATAAATATATGGTAAATCTGATAAGTAAGCCAATATTATGACAAAATGGATGGATAAAAATAAACTGATCCAAAATAAACATTTAACTATAGGATGGGCTAATACCAGCACATTAGTGATCCTATGATATCAGTGCAATACGTCTAGAATTCAAACAGAAAACTCCTCAAATAATATTTGAATTATAGTAAATACATTGCAAGTGTTATAAGGTGTAAAATACAGTTCCATCATTTATGTCTGTTAATTACAGCTCCATAATGTCTGTCATTTTTACTATGTAGTTTTAAGTCGGTATGGTGGCTGAGTGGATAGCACTCTTGCCTTTCAGAAAGAAGGCCCTGGGTTCGAATCCCAGTCGGAACAGTGTCTTTCTGAGTGGAGTTTGCATGTTCTCCCTGTGTCTGCATAGATTTCCTCCGGGTGCTCCGGTTTCCCCTACCTCTAAAAACATGCACACTAGGTAAAATCCTCCAGCTTGTTCCCTACGGGGACAATAAAGTGCACATTTACAAGTAAAAAAAAAACAAAGTTCCATTTCCTACACAAGTATTAGTTTGTTTTGTCAGATGATTAAAGCCAACATATTATTGCTTCAGGGATGGAAACGGTTGACATGCAAACCTGAATATAACTGCCCCTTCGCATTTGCTTTCATTAAATGAAGCTCACAAGTCTATATATATTTATATCGGTCGTGCATTCTGAGTGCATGTCCCACAGCCAACCCCCAGAGAGCATGAGGTCTGGTGCAGATCCGATTTCATAGATGGAAATAAAAAAGACAAACTATAAACACAAGAATAATTTGTCAATAATCACATTTTACCATGTATTATGTTATTGTATATTTGAATCTACTGTTGAAGAATCAACATGACAATTGCTGTTGTGATTTTAGGCAATACAAAATTAAACTGACTGTCTAACACAGGACTAATATCATAAAATATTATTTACCATTCAACAGCTACAAATGTCTTATCATATGCATTGTAAGGATATTAAAAAGCATATTGTAAAGCGCTTTGAGTGACCTTGGTCTGTAAAAAATGGCGCTATATAAATAAAGATATGCATCTTATCAATCGTCTCAAGTCAACCCGATGACAAGCGGCAGAAATTTGACAAGAGGAGAAGCAAAAAATATGAATGATATACACATGACGTGCTGAGCCATACCTGCAGTTTGTGCAAATTAAACATGTGCAAATAATAGCTTTGCGTTCGCTGCCGTTATGTTGGATCCATAAATTAACTACCAGCTATTGTGTCTATTCAATATTGCAGCGGGGTCCCTTCCTCTGCTGTGATTGGTCCCCAGAAGCATGCAAACATTTCAGCAGAAGTCTCCATTCTGTTATGCCATTCAAAATGATTTGAGTGCATACAGCAGCTTGGATATTCCCAGGCTGCTATAGGCTTATTCATGAAGAAAGAATAAATGAGTAAAACCAAGTGAACCATTATTATCATTCTTATTATTAGTATTATTATTTCTATCATTATTGTTTTGCCTCATTCAAAATAAATTGTTCCGAGCTTTTCCACTTGCACTGAGCTGGTATCAGCAGTGCTATTCAGCTGGATAGTCATTATCACAGTCTCCCTTTTTGCTCCTACTTCCTCCCTTTCAAAACACACCTCTCCATTCTGCACACTGGGGCCCTCAGGAGCCGCGTGCGTGTGGGGGAAGGGCGAGGAACACGCACGCGCGCACACACTTGTAAACTGTACGCGTGTGTGCAGCCACTGGGACGGATTATGTCTGCGGAAGCCAGGACTGCAAGATCCCACCCATCCCCCATCGTTTCTGCTGCTCTGCTTTCAACCACACACTCACACACACGCATACACACACACAAACGCACGCGCAAACGCACGCGCACACATAAGCGCGCCCATTTTCTCCTGCCTGGTCTCCTCCCCTGCAATAGATTCCACCCATCCCCCATCCGCCGCTGCTGCTCAGTCATTCAGACCTGCGAGAGTCAATAACAAGCTGACATCATCATCGCTTTTGGAGGGTACAGTGGGCCCTTTATTTCAAGCGGGACACGAACGAAGGTGAGATGGGGGCCCCTGTAAAGAGGAGTGGGTGAGACAGAGCGCGATCGTTGGGACGGGACAGGTGGAGAATAGGGGGGAGGATGAGGGGAGAGAGAGAGAATGGGGGAGGGGCAGGAAATGTCTAGCTGTGGCTCAATCATGGAGATATAAATGTCTGGGACAAACATTATGTAATCATTGGCAATAAAGGTGGCAGTTATTGGTCAGTATTGTGTGTTTGTTTGGCAAACAGTTCTATTATTCTGTGACATCTATGGAATTGGGAGTGGTCAGTAGCTCACCACCCCCTTCCAGGTAGCTCCCCAAAGTATTTTAAAATGACAAATAATAACATTCTTTTTTATGCTAACTTTGCACACCAGTAACTTAACATGGATGCTGTATGACTGTGTTATAGGTGCTATGGATTTGTCAAAAAATGAGACAGAGGCAGCAATCTCACGCACCAGTAACCCTCGGTTTAATTTTGAGTTCTTCCAGAGGACAGAAGAAGACAAAGCTTTTCACATAATGTGTATCAATTTGCATAAGAACAGAGACGTCATCCTTGAGATAGAAATGACGCTGATGCTTAAAATATTGATACTAGTTGCAATGTGGTACCAATACGTTCAAATTTTGAGATAATAGTGTTTTGCCGTAGTACAAATATAACAGACGTCCAAAACATGTACGTCATATTCCTCAGATCTTTTATTTCAACTTATGGTGCAATTATGTTAAAACTGGGCTGGTCCTTACAACAGATGTGACAAAAACAGTTATTTTCCACATGAAGTTTTGGTTATCTCAAGGGTCGAGGCAAACATATTTACTCGCGGCGCAGCAGATGCTAAAAGGAGCTTCCGTATTTTGGCTGTAGTTATAAAACCATGTGAACGCTGGGAAAGCTCGACCAGAGTTTTGAGGAAAATGACAAACGATGGGGAGGTCTGGGTTTGCTGAGGCACAATCCCAGATCGCCTCAGTAAGACAAAAGCTAATCACAATTGTATGAAATCTTTTCTTCTTCCAGCCACTTGAAGAAGTAGGTCTCAAGCTTTGATGTTTAATGACAATAAAAGAGCCTGACATGCAACATTTCATATTTGTTGAAGCTTAAATGCTATCCAAGTACAGTGTTTTAGCATTACAACTTTAAAATTTAGGCCCTGTTTAGACGAAGACGCTGCAAAGCAATTAGCAATATCAACCAGTCTCCTCATTCGAAGTGCACAGCGTCTACACGACGACGGAAACAATGTAGTTCTAGCACCCGTCCAGTAGTGGGCAGTGGAACTTTACGACACAACACGACACGCTCGACCCCCAGCAGTACAACCACTTCCTCAACAACATCCTCCTCAGGCCTCCGCAAAGACGGAAAAGAATGCGCCAACATAATTTTGCATTTAACAATAGCTGCTTCGCATGATTTCGTTTGGACAAACAAAGAAGTGGAATTGCTCCCCCGTTTTTTACGTTTGTTCTCGGCTACTGCACATGTTCAAATGTACGTGCAGGTAAGTGGTGAGGCCATTGCAGCCAGAGAATTCACAACTTTTTCTTCACACTGCTGTGAAACAGCCCCCCGCCGCCTGTTCTAGGTTGTTTCTCAACGCTTGCGTTTTCACTCCGGTAAAACACTGTCTTCATGTAAACGAAGGGCCTCTAAAACGTTAGAGTTTTGTGACAGCTCCATAGTCTCGGTGTAAAAGGTTTGCTATGAACACATTGTCAAGATGGGGCCACCAGTGCAATTTACTGATGTCAGAGTTAGTAAGGGTGTACAATATGATTTATCCAGATACTGAACTAGGGTTACTGCATACCTACATGAATATTTGTTGTTGGATTAGTTCTCAAACCGGACTTTTTGGTTCTGTTCATTTAATTTGGCAAACCTGTCTTCTATTGTTTTGCGGTTGCAGACATGTCCAAAAACAAGTTTGGAATTTGGATCACTGCTGTTTTCTTTGTAGCCATTTGTTCATACATTGTAAGCTGCAGATATGTTCTAAAACAACTTAATTTTAGAACAAAAATGCAGGATATTCATTTAGGTAGGAGGTAAGCACTCCAGCCGCAGGAAAATACATGCTTACTCGGCTGTGAGATAATGAAGAATAAGAAGTTCACATTGTTATATTATACAAAATTAACATGCCATTAAAAGCTCAACATGAATTTTTCGGGTGTCCCTTTTAATAAACACCTTCCTATTTTGAAAGATAGACTATTAGAGTGACAAAGACACAGTCACTGTAACACAGTATTTGTCTAGAGCAAATACACACACACACACAGACTTTACTATGTGTGGGTGCGTACAAACACACACATACTTTACTATGTGCGTGTGTACAAACACTAGTCGAAACACATACCATGACTGCTCACTTTCTAACTGTTTCCAATAAGACTGATTATGTGGCCAGCTTGCAGGAGGGTGGAGACACAGAGGCTGCTTTTGGCACTGACCTACACTCACAAGCACAGCCCACTCCCCAAAGGCACATGGAGCAAGGCATGAGACACGGGAATGTAATGTAGTCTTGTTTTAAAGCTGCGTTATGTAACCTTCCTGTTATTGTTTTGTCTAGGCTGTTAAACTTGTATATCGACAGAGCAAAACCTTTCAATTACACATGTGTCTTTCATATACATACATAGGTGTGAGCAGATACAGGTAGAAAGAAGCGAGGCAGAGGAGGGGAGGGGAAAATGTTACATGTCTGAATTGTTCCTTAATTATACGTAGTAAGTAATGAGAGGGGGAGATTATTACATAGTGCCCTTTTAAAGCCATGTGCGATTGCTCTAGGATGCTTTATAATGTCATAACACACCAGTATATTTCACATTCCTGTGACAGGAATTTGAAAGTATGTCTTCTTTTTATTCAAATCGCTTTTTCAGAATATTCTTTCCACAGCTGGTCATTATTTAACAGCGTAGGAATGTCTGCCGTTTGTACTCAGACAGTCTACAGTTTGGGTTTATCTAATGCTTTCCCCAGCAGCTCATGGCTGTATTGACTTTCCATGCTGTGAATGTTGATAATTTTGAAAAAGGCTTTTCCCAAATATTAAAAATCAATCAATCAATCTTTATTTATAGAGCGCTTATCCTACACAGGGTAACACAACGCGCCTATCTTAAATGTCATCCATCTTTACACATATAACGTTTTTCACATGCTTGTTTATGCAGCCAACAAACTCTAAAATAGTAAGAAAATAAATATGTTTCTTGGAAGAAATATGTCTAGTTTGGAGTGCTAGGAGATATATGGTTCGTCTCTTCTCATGCTTTTTATCAATGTATTATTTATAATGCAATCAGTACTTGGGTCATCATAAATAAAGCAAAAACTATTACTGATCTTGGAGACAAAAATACCACTGATTGTCTCGGGCAGCACAATAAATCAGGAGAAGAATTCCATTTTGAGTATTGAAGCAATAATTCTTTGTACACAGCCTTGTTCCAAACCAAATACTTTTACTTCAGAAATCCTGCGGAGGGAAACATGCTTCCAAACTATCCAAGAAAAAAACATGAAAAAAGACACATTCTTTGGCCACATGTGGTTTTGCTTAAGCCCTGTGTCTCTCTGAGTCTGGACTGGATCAGTTTGATGGGACCCACACAGGAGATTTTGGGGAGCACACGTCAGCTGTATGCATTGAGGTCATGGAGGCTGGAAGCTCTGTGGTAATGGAAACTTCTACTGGCATGATGGCCGGTTAACTCACCACTCCAACCTCTATGGGCCAATGGCTAAACTAAAATTGTAGCCGAGAATATGGGAATATTCACCAAAATAAATGTTCAACCGTGTTTGTTAAAGAGACATCCTATGCTTTTATTTGTTAGTCTGATATTATACCAAAGAGGCAAGTCGGATAGCAAGTGGCAGCTCTCATGTTTAATGTGTGCCAAAATGCCTGATCACTGCTGATAATCCATGCTTTACCACAGGTGTCAAACTCCTTTCAGGTTTGCGGTCGAAGTTTATTTTTAGGCACTACAGTTCTACTAAGGTTTCCATTGTTAGACTTTGAATTTCGGCTCAGTATATTTGCATTGAAATACGTTCAGTTGTTAGCATGACTAATGCCAGAATTCCATAGCCGTTTATTGGGAGCTACCAATGATATAAATTCTACCCAATCACATCTCGCACAACGAAAAGGGAAGAAAGTAAATAAGACATAGAAAGACTTTTTTGCGCTTTTATGATACACTTTGATGATAATGACTTTGCATTGTTAATAAAGGGTGCAGAGTTTCACATTGTATCTGTTTCAGCTGGCGGTGTGCCATTGTTTTTAATGAAAAAGGTGTGCCACACCTCAAAAGGTTGGAACAATACTGTAAACAGCAAAGACAAAGTACAATTATCCAAAATGTTCCACATAACATTTCACTTACCAAAGACAAAATTAGAGGAAAATGCCCCTTGAAAAGCATCGCCCCAGAGACCTGGCCGTGCATCAGATCTAAAATAATGATCTGATATTTATTCTTCAATCAAGCAGCCTTGAGGTTAGTCAGATAAACTTTCAGCCATTAAGTGACAGGTAATACATGTATTACACAGTCATTGACTATGCAGAAGCAACACCCTCAAGCATATACCCCTCTACCCATCTTTTATCAATTCGACTTTCAATTACAGACACACACTAGATGTATGCTTTTCTTTCAAAAGATACCTTCATAATAAGATAGTATAACTAACTGCATGTGTTGC